TTATTATATCCCCTGGTAGCCCTGATCTGGGTGAAGAACATATCCAAAAATCACCCAGATCAGACCAGGGGTTCGGGAGATTGATGGAAGTAGTAAAAAGACCAACCGCACAGGAAGTAACAGCCGAAATTGGTTCCATGCATTTTGGACGTGTGGTCGGTCAAAGAAAAAGGGAATAAACTGCACGAATGACTTAGGCTCTGGGGACTGGAGAGGATTCAAATGAATCCCCTTGTTCATGGGTTTCTGTCTACCGAACGGATAGCCGTTCGGTAGTTTCTACACAAATTTACAGGTAGTGTGGAGGTCTCAGCGGTGTTTGCCTAGCCGAGTGTCCGATTTGGGTTCCAGACACTCGACGGCAGAACACTGCTGTTCGGGAGTTTTAAAATGGCCGCCGCCACGTGTTCGTTTCCCGAATGGCGGCCACCCAGAGGACAAAACACACATTACACGAATCATCAATTACCAGTTTGCAACATTGTTGCGAACGGTAATTGGAGGCACACTTCTCCCTGGGGTGGTCTGATTGTTCGGTAGTTTCATTCGCATAAGAACTGGAGTGATTTTACCAAACAATCGGCGGAATGCTACATACACTTCACATATTACACGTTAACATTCAACCGAATACATAGACATGAATGCACTTTTTACGGCAGCCCAATGCCACCCGCTACAACAATACCCCCAATTAACACATTAGTAAAAAAAAAACAATTTCAGGGAGGGAAGCAATTAGGGGGGGTGGAGGGGAGTATTTGTCTCCGGTCTTTAATAACATTTAGATTAATCCCTCACTAAGGCTAGAATAATCTGTAATTTTAAAGCAAGACAGGAGGCTTCATATTTGCAATTTTAACGCCCAGAAATAAAGATAGAATAAACATCAAATCGCGAACGGAAGTAAAATATGGCAAGTCGATTAACTAGACCAATCAGCGGCGCTGAGAATATCCGTAAGGAAGCCAACCCAACATCTAGAGCTGCTGAAGCTGCAGTACCCCGAACCGAATGAGGCCCAAAGGAACTCACCACGCCAGCCGACGAAAGAAGCCATCAAATCCAACAAGCAATCGTAGGTGCAGAAACCGCCCTAAACGGTCGAACTTAGGAAATCAATAGCTGCCCATGGGCACAAGGCCGAAAGGACAAAGTCACGGACAGATACGTCCATAGACAAAGAGCCAAACAGAGAGAGATGAGGTCTATCCGGAAAGTAGGGATACGACACAGAAGATGGATTAGATTTCATTCTGCGCGAAATAGAAACAGAGAGACCCACTGGTAAAAAGGAGAAAGATTCTACATCAACAGTACAAACATCAGAAATGTGTTGAAAAGACACAAGACAACAGTAGCTGGCGTAGAGATCTGTTATCCGACCATTCTTCAAGGAAGTGCAATACAAGCGAAATATCACAAAATTAGGTATAGCAATAAGTAGGCGTCCTTGAAAGGTGCACGCCTCGTAACAGTCTGCAGACTGAGGGGTCCTTACCAACGCCAGAACCTTGAGAAGAAACATGAGCCTCGAGATAGCCAATCGGAAAACATTAATAGTCCTATATGACATACCTTGAAAAACAATTCGGCCAGGAAGTTCAGTACGGCCATGACAGGGGCCGTAAAGGGATCCAAACGTCTTTCCAGACACCAGCCATCCCAGGGTCGCTAGGCGTGCAAATATGATCTTCAGGTGCCTGGCGCCCAAGAGTCCCAGGGTAACTCTCTAGCCATTGTCGATAGGCCTGACACATCCCAGGCACTCCGTAAATGGTCCAGGCCACCAGTGACAGACGACACTCTAATACCAACGGAGGAATCCGTTCACTGCTTCACTGAGGGGATTCGGGAGCCAACTGAACAGATTCAGGTGGAGGGCACCTCCATAGGAATCCAGCATCTAAAATACCGGAGGATGTAGTTGATAAATGCTGGCGTCTCTTCAGTGTCGAGAAAAAAACAGTCCGCCATTAGATTGTCCTCGAAAGGTATTCCATCACAAGCGATAAGTTCTTGTCCAGTCAATACTGGTAGAGATCCCTTGTCAGATCCAACAGAAGTTTGGAATGGAACCCCCCAACCGGTTTATGTAGCAGACAGCTGAGATGTTGTCCATGCGTAGAAAAAGTAGACAATGTCTCATCCCTTTGGTGAAACCCCAATTGGGGAACGACCCTGCAAATCGTTCTAGACAGGTGATGTGAAGTGTCTTCTCCTCCGGAGTCCAAAGTATTCCTGTCGCCACGCCATCGCAAGCAGCACCACAGCCCAGACAAGAATCATCTGATTCCAGGACAAAGTCCAGCTGGGATCCGGATATTGCCTTGCCATTCCAGTCCTCCATGTGTCAAAGTCACCAATGGAGATCCAGACGGGCCTCGTCCGAAAGACACCCGAATTGGTCATTTAAGGCTGATGACCTGAGATTGTGCGCCTTCGGGCACTGGAGGTCCGATAGTGTAGGGGTCCCAGGAATATGACCTGAATGGAGGATGACCACAGTCCTATTGTCCGAGCAAGATCCCTCAACATGGCCTCTGGGTTGCGGAGAAGGCATCTGATATTCTTCCCGATACCAGATACCATTGTAAGGTGGAGTACCGCCTGAACCGAATCCACCACGAAAAAAACTAAAATTGGACTAACCGCTTAGAGGGAGTCAGGTCCGATTTCTCCATGTTGAAGACAAGCCCCAGGACCTGATGCAGGCGGATCGTGAACGACGTCTGCTGACGCAGGATAGCCAAATCTTGCGCCATCAATAGAATATTGTCGAGATAGATGATTGATCTGATCCCTCTGGCCCTCAGAGTCACCCTGACTGGCTTCAACAACAAGGTGAAATACCAAAGTGCCGAGCAGAAGCCGAACGAAAGGTCCGTGACCTGCCAGATGCATCCCTGCCAGAGGAACTGGAGGAAAACACCTGTCCTCATGGTGGATCGGTACCATGAGATAAGCGTCCTTAGATCCAGTCAGGAGAATCAGTCTCCCCCGCAAAGCAGATCCCTTAAGAGATGGATGCACTCCATCTTGACATGCC